CTGCTCTGCTCCCAATCCAGTTTCCTGGTAACGCACCTGCCAAGCAACGATGGCCCAAGTGTTGGGGAGACCTGGGGGCAGCTCTCCACACAGTCCTTGCACAACTTACTGCAGGACGGAAACGCTGCACCCATCAACTCAGGATACATCCGGAAGCCTCCGAGCCTCGACAGGACACTTCGACCCTCAGTTTCGAATGCCTGAAACATTGTTCTCTGTGGTGTCATCACTTCAATGTTTTCCCCTATTAGAGACTGCCAAGTCATCACATGGTCCTCGGGCTCTGCACCCGGGCCGGGCGCAGCACAAGCCTGCCACTGAAGCTGACGCCACACCTGCGTGCCAAGGCCGCACGCACACTGCAGCCGCACGCACACTGCAGCCGCACGCACACTGCAGCCCCCACACACTGCAGCCCCATGCACACTGCAGCCCCACGCACATTGCAGCCGCACGCACACTGCAGCCGCACGCACACTGCAGCCCCCCACACACTGCAGCCCCCCGCACACTGCAGCCCCCCGCACACTGCAGCCCCACGCACACTGCAGCCCCACGCACACTGCAGCCCCCCGCACACTGCAGCCCCACGCACACTGCAGCCCCACGCACACTGCAGCCCCACGCACACTGCAGCCCCACGCACACTGCAGCCGCACGCACACTGCAGCTCCCCACACACTGCAGCCCCACGCACGCAGCCCCACGCACACTGCAGCTCCCCACACACTGCAGCCGCACGCACACTGCAGCCCCCCACACACTGCAGCCCCACGCACACTGCAGCTCCCCACACACTGCAGCCCCACGCACACTGCAGCCCCACACACACTGCAGCCCCACGCACACTGCAGCCCCACACACACTGCAGCCCTACACACACTGCAGCCCCACGCACACTGCAGCCCCACGCACACTGCAGCCGCACGCACACTGCAGCCCCACACACACTGCAGCCCCACGCACAATGCAGCCGCACGCACACTGCAGCCCCACGCACACTGCAGCCCCACACACACTGCAGCCCCACGCACACTGCAGCCCCACACACACTGCAGCCCCACACACACTGCAGCCCCACGCACACTGCAGCCCCACACACACTGCAGCCCTACACACACTGCAGCCCCACGCACACTGCAGCCCCACGCACACTGCAGCCCCACGCACACTGCAGCCCCACACACACTGCAGCCCCATGCACACTGCAGCCCCACGCACACTGCAGCCCCACGCACACTGCAGCCCCCCACACACTGCAGCCCCACGCACACTGCAGCCCCCCACACACTGCAGCCCCCCACACACTGCAGCCCCATGCACACTGCAGCCCCACGCACATTGCAGCCCCACGCACACTGCAGCCCCACACACACTGCAGCCCCACGCACACTGCAGCCCCCCACACACTGCAGCCCCATGCACACTGCAGCCCCATGCACACTGCAGCCCCACGCACACTGCAGCCCCACGCACACTGCAGCCCCACACACACTGCAGCCCTACACACACTGCAGCCCCACGCTGCATCCTTGACCTTACCAAGAACTTGGCAGGCAGATTCGCTGCAGTCAGACCCTCATTCCAGCACAGGACGCAGCTGCTGCCAACCCAAGCAATGTCCACTACCCCTGATCCACAACTGACTTGTCTTTTTTTTTCATTTTTTCATTTTCTTAATTATATTTTTGACAATCTTTACATGGTTAATTATGCTAAAAATGTTCAAGGGCTATAGGAAAGCGGGTGAGACTATTATTTCCATATTGTTTCCTTCATGTATCTAAGATAAAGGGGGATTTTAAGGGAGAAGCCCCATACAGTCTCCCACCCATCTCAGGTCCTGGATGTGGGGCATGCTCTGAGATACTTGCTCAAGTGGTTTTGATAGTTCACCAGCTATAAATTACTGCCAATCTCACCACTCCAAGCACAATGAGGTCATTGAAGAATCCACTGATTGACATAGTCCATCATAGAGTCTCCATTTGCCCAGTATTTCGCTGCCAACATATGGCTGAGGTGGTTGATTGACTTGTTCTGTCTTCTGTCTTTTCTTGGTTAGGGTTCTGAGTCCAGCATTCCGATTGGGGAGATCCCAAAAGAAACTTTGAGGTATTCCCAGAACAGATTCTTGTGTGTTCTAGCAAGTACAGGGCCCAGCACAGTCCATCGCCCCCATCAGCTGGTGGTTGCAATTGCTGGGTTGGTTCTGCTTCCAGCCCCGACTTCCACTGGAACCAGTGGGTGTTACATCCAGCCTGGCTCTGCCCAGCACATAGTCGGGCCTCACATAAACCAGTGGGAGCTGCAGCCTAGTCAGAGCGGCCCACAATAACCCCCACAGGCCTGCCCTCTACCCTGGTTTGCCAGTATGTGCAGCAGACTAGTCCAGTCTGTCCCACATCCCATTTGGCTGTCATACATGTCAATGTGTATTAAAGCTTAGTTCCACCTAACCAGCTCAACTATTCAGCCCTCGTATATGTTGTTGGGTGTCTGTCTGGCCACCCCAGCCCCCGTCCTAGCTTTTGTGCCTTCCCGTGGGAGTGGTAACCCAAAAGGGAGGAGCCCACTATTTCCCTCCCAGGTCTCACTCCTGGATTATGCACTCTCCAGGTGGTTCTGTGGTTTGACTTGACAGAATAGCCCCCAGTGCCAGCTTCTGCCAGCTGATGCTGTGGCAAAGCCCAAACAATCCTCACCCACTCTAATTTTGTTTGCACCAGTTGGAATAATCAGCCCAGCCTGGCTTTTCCCTGATCTAGGCCACATGAGGCACACAGGTGTTGTAGCCCTGCTTAGTCTGGTCTGCCCCCATCCCAGCTCATGCTCTCCAGTGGGAGTAGCTGTCCAGCAAGGGAGCACCCCCATATTCCTCCTGCTGGCTCCACCCCCTCCCTTCCTGGTTCTCAGGTGTCCTGGTTGGGTGCTACGGTCACATCCGGTACAGGCAGCCTCACCTTGGCATTCCGTAGTGTACACTAGTCTTTGTTGCGACCGAACCTTGCTCGACCCACACACTCTGTTCTGGTGCTCAGATTTGCCAGTGGATGACGTGAACTGATTCAGCCTGGTCTGTCCCCGACCCATGCCAAATGTATGCCAGTGGGAAACTTTCCATGGCCTCTTCTGGGCTGTTTCCTATCATGCTTCTTGCGCTTACCTGCAGGGTCTGTGTCCTGCCAGAGGAGTTGCCCAGGCTCCTCCATCAGAACCTCTCCCAATGCCAGATTTTGCGCATACCATGTGGTCCATGAGCCAGCCCTATTCAGTTCAACTCCTGTCCTAGCAGAAACAGTGGCTTTTCCTGACTGGCCTTCAACCCAAACTGGTCCTTGCTGCTGGATGTTTCAGCCCAGCCTTGGCTCGTCCATACCCACATACGGCTCACACATGGCTCAGTAGGGGTTGAGACCTTGCCTAGTCCATCCTACATCTACCCTGGTCCTCCAGGAAACCAGATAGTGTTGGAGTCTGGCCCGGCCTGATGCGTCCAGTCCCCGTCCACACTTGTGCCAAAGAAGACTACAACCATTTCCTAATCAGAATGCAGCCCCCATTCCAGCCCTGTGCTCCTTGGTGGGGACCTCCACCAAGCTAGGGGTCCCCTTAGCTCCCCAACTGGGCCTGTTCCCAACCATAGATCAACCGCATGCCAGTGGTTGCTCTGACTCAACCCCTCACCTGTCCAGACCTCTGCCTTAAGACACTTCTGCTCCCTCCTGGTCTCTAGTTTCGCTGGCTCACGCAGACCAGTAGGTGCAAGAGCCTACTTCGGCATGACCTGTGCTCCATCCTGGTTTCTAGTTCCGCTTGTGGGCTAAGGTTTGCTCAGTGCTGCCCGGTACACCCCATTCCATTACCAACTGACACATTACCCAGCTGTTGGAGCTACTTTGTCCAGCTTGTCCAACCCCCAGGTCTGGACCACATGTTCGCCAGCGGGAGCTATGACTTGCCAGGGGACTTTCCCAAGTTCCTCCACTTGATCCACTCCCAGACCCGGTTCCCATACATGCCAGTGGATTTTAGGCCAGGTTCCGGCGAAGTCTGGCCTTCCATGAGCTGGTCAATGTTGCAACCCGGCCCACCCCACACCCTATTCAGGATGCACATTTGGGCGCTGCTGCCCTGACCAGTCCAGACTTGTCAGTTCCTTTACCTGTGAGTGATGGCAGGCTCCTTGGTCATACCTAGCTTAACCCATCACCACCCCAACTCTTGAGCTAACCAGTGGGGCTATTTTCCACAGAGTTTGGCCAACACATACCTAACAGAATCGACCCCCAGATAGGGTTCTCGAGGGCTAGTTAATGTAATGGCCCTGCCTAATGTGACCCATCTCCTGATCCATCATATGAGGTAATAGGATGTGATCCTGCTGGACAAGCCCTGAGCCTTAGCTTTTGCATGGACTGGTGTTAGCCTGGTGCCAAATGGCACACTGGCCACCTGGGGACAGATTGTGATGGCTGGAGTCCGGGATCCGAGCATAAAGACAACCTGGCCTGAGGTTCACCAGCAGCTGGCAGCGCGCAGGAAGTTTAAACCCCAAGCCCAGGGTCGCACTCCTCCCCAATCCCATCCACCACTCACTCAATGGGCCCCGGGTCCACCCAGCCCCAGACGACTTCCCCCGCAGTGCACTCATCCCGAAGGGAGCAGCCCCCGGAGCACAGGCAGGCCAGGGTACAGCTCACCACGTGATTGTAGCATCAGTTGATGGTTCCGTAGGTAAACCTACTTCCACACTACCGCCAAGTGCTTCTCCCAGTATCTGAAAACATGCTGCCACTAGCAAAACAGTCTCTCAAGCAACCCACGAACTTCTGTGCACACACGCAAAATTTCCTGATAAAGTTGTACTTTCTGAGAACAAAGAATGCAGATTTCACACACTTCATTTACCCAAGCAGATGTCTCCTCTTATCTACCAAATAACCTATTCTAAGCCTATCAGTAAAAACAAAACCGTACAGTAAAATAAACCACACTACTTGGGAATGCAAGAACTTTATTGAAAGAAAAGTGTGATGAAATGTGCTGAAAGCTGAGGGGGAGAACTTAGACACCACCCCGTAGGCGCAGGACCAGGTGCAGGGTGGACTCCTTCTGGATGTTGTAGTCAGACAGGGTGCGGCCATCTTCCAGCTGCTTGCCTGCAAAGATCAGCCTCTGCTGGTCGGGAGGGATGCCTTCCTTATCCTGGATCTTGGCCTTGACGTTCTCGATGGTGTCACTGGGCTCCACCTCCAGGGTGATGGTCTTGCCGGTCAGGGTCTTCACGAAGATCTGCATGCCACCTCGCAGGCGCAGGACCAGGTGCAGGGTGGACTCCTTCTGGATGTTGTAGTCAGACAGGGTGCGGCCATCTTCCAGCTGCTTGCCTGCAAAGATCAGCCTCTGCTGGTCGGGAGGGATGCCTTCCTTATCCTGGATCTTGGCCTTGACGTTCTCGATGGTGTCACTGGGCTCCACCTCCAGGGTGATGGTCTTGCCGGTCAGGGTCTTCACGAAGATCTGCATGCCACCTCGCAGGCGCAGGACCAGGTGCAGGGTGGACTCCTTCTGGATGTTGTAGTCAGACAGGGTGCGGCCATCTTCCAGCTGCTTGCCTGCAAAGATCAGCCTCTGCTGGTCGGGAGGGATGCCTTCCTTATCCTGGATCTTGGCCTTGACGTTCTCGATGGTGTCACTGGGCTCCACCTCCAGGGTGATGGTCTTGCCGGTCAGGGTCTTCACGAAGATCTGCATGCCACCTCGCAGGCGCAGGACCAGGTGCAGGGTGGACTCCTTCTGGATGTTGTAGTCAGACAGGGTGCGGCCATCTTCCAGCTGCTTGCCTGCAAAGATCAGCCTCTGCTGGTCGGGAGGGATGCCTTCCTTATCCTGGATCTTGGCCTTGACGTTCTCGATGGTGTCACTGGGCTCCACCTCCAGGGTGATGGTCTTGCCGGTCAGGGTCTTCACGAAGATCTGCATGCCACCTCGCAGGCGCAGGACCAGGTGCAGGGTGGACTCCTTCTGGATGTTGTAGTCAGACAGGGTGCGGCCATCTTCCAGCTGCTTGCCTGCAAAGATCAGCCTCTGCTGGTCGGGAGGGATGCCTTCCTTATCCTGGATCTTGGCCTTGACGTTCTCGATGGTGTCACTGGGCTCCACCTCCAGGGTGATGGTCTTGCCGGTCAGGGTCTTCACGAAGATCTGCATGCCACCTCGCAGGCGCAGGACCAGGTGCAGGGTGGACTCCTTCTGGATGTTGTAGTCAGACAGGGTGCGGCCATCTTCCAGCTGCTTGCCTGCAAAGATCAGCCTCTGCTGGTCGGGAGGGATGCCTTCCTTATCCTGGATCTTGGCCTTGACGTTCTCAATGGTGTCACTGGGCTCCACCTCCAGGGTGATGGTCTTGCCGGTCAGGGTCTTCACGAAGATCTGCATGCCACCTCGCAGGCGCAGGACCAGGTGCAGGGTGGACTCCTTCTGGATGTTGTAGTCAGACAGGGTGCGGCCATCTTCCAGCTGCTTGCCTGCAAAGATCAGCCTCTGCTGGTCGGGAGGGATGCCTTCCTTATCCTGGATCTTGGCCTTGACGTTCTCGATGGTGTCACTGGGCTCCACCTCCAGGGTGATGGTCTTGCCGGTCAGGGTCTTCACGAAGATCTGCATGCCACCTCGCAGGCGCAGGACCAGGTGCAGGGTGGACTCCTTCTGGATGTTGTAGTCAGACAGGGTGCGGCCATCTTCCAGCTGCTTGCCTGCAAAGATCAGCCTCTGCTGGTCGGGAGGGATGCCTTCCTTATCCTGGATCTTGGCCTTGACGTTCTCGATGGTGTCACTGGGCTCCACCTCCAGGGTGATGGTCTTGCCGGTCAGGGTCTTCACGAAGATCTGCATGCCACCTCGCAGGCGCAGGACCAGGTGCAGGGTGGACTCCTTCTGGATGTTGTAGTCAGACAGGGTGCGGCCATCTTCCAGCTGCTTGCCTGCAAAGATCAGCCTCTGCTGGTCGGGAGGGATGCCTTCCTTATCCTGGATCTTGGCCTTGACGTTCTCGATGGTGTCACTGGGCTCCACCTCCAGGGTGATGGTCTTGCCGGTCAGGGTCTTCACGAAGATCTGCATTGTCTGTTACAACCAAACAAAATTTAAAGTGCTCAAATTCTTGCCAACAATCTCCTAGCATAGTTATTGGTTACATGGCATGTATTAAAAAAGTCTAAATAAGTAATAAAACTTGCCTGAAAATTTCCACCCAATATAGATTAAGTCACAACCCTAACTTCCAACCTAGGGAGGAAAATCTGACCAAAATCAACTCCGAAGCTCCGTGCGCCCCTCCTTTCCGACCGCGGTTCCTGTCACGCCGCGTGATTTACCCGAGGCCCTAACGCTGACGCTCGCCGCTGAGGAAGGCCAAGTCCACTGCGCCCGGCGGCCACGCCCCGCATTATGAGCCCGCACCCTGTGGCGTCACGGCGTCGGTACGCGGCCCCACCCGGATGGGGCAGAGCTCAGAAAGCACCCCAGGTTGCCGCCCCTGACCCCACGGAAGAGCGCACTTTTTCTCCGCAACCCGCCGGAACCCCTTTACCCAAGTTCCGAACGCGCCCCCACTGTTTCCCTCAGAAACCGGTCTTCCCGTCCCGGCCACGGCCCAGGGTGTCGCGCAGCGTCCCTCGGCCCTGCACCCGCCTCGCCCCGTCCCTCGGCCTCCCGGCCCGCCTCGCCCCGGCCTCCCGCCCGCCTCGCCCCGTCCCTCGGCCTCCCGGCCCGCCTCGCCCCGGCCTCCCGCCCGCCTCGCCCCGTCCCTCGGCCTCCCGGCCCGCCTCGCCCCGGCCTCCCGCCCGCTCCCCGCCGACGCTCCCTCAGGCCGCCATCTTGCGGCTGCCCGCCCCGCCGCGGGAGACCCGCAGCCCTGGCGCCCTCCCGCCCGCGCGCTGCCCTCGTCCCCGCAGGCCAAAGCCCGGCGTCCCCGAGGCCCGCGGCCACGTCCTCACCAGGCGCTGGCGGCGACGACAGGCGAGCGGACACGGCAGCGGACGCGGCTCCGACGGAACTAGGCGCGCCGCGCCCGCAGCTCCCTTATATAGTCCTCGGCGAGACGTCACCGCCCCGCGCAGATCCCTCCGCAGAAACGCCGAGAAGGAGCTATTGGCCTCGGCCTCTTCCGCCATCGAGAAAGAAAAGTAGCGCCCGGAATCCCCCGGCTCCCCTCACAAAATCTTCTCCCGTCACGCCGGGGGTTGGGGAGCTGAGTCCGGGCGGGCAGTGGGCGGCCTTGGGGGGCGGCCGCGCGGAGGGGTCAGGGCTTTCGGGGCGTGCTGCGGCCCGGGGAGGGGAGGTGGAGGTGGAGGTGGGGGTGGGGTGGGGGTGGGGTGGGGGTGGGGGGCTGGGCCGGCCCGGGCTGGGGGCGACCCCGCGCCGCGAGCCCCTGGCCCCCAGCGGCCCCTGGGCGGCGGGTCCCCGCTGGTCCGTCAGCCCTGCGGAGTTGGGGGCTCCCTCCCCGGCGCGCAGCCCCCTGATAGCCCCGCTCCGCGACGCTGAGGGGCTCCTTGTGGGGTCACACTGTTTTCTGTGGGGTCACGTTGGAGAGGGGCAGTGGCCTGGCTTGGGGCGCTCCCCTCACCACAGACTCGGGGCGCCCCGGCCGAGCGGGCGCGGGGACAAGGCCGATGACTCGGCAGATCCCGGGGCGGCCCTCGGCCGGCCCCGCTCACCGGCGAGCGAACAGCCGGTCCGACGGGGGACCCCGGGCCGTCCAGGCCGAGTTCAAAAACAAACACAGAAGGGCCGCGCACCTCGAGCCCTGCCGGAGCCCGGGCCTCACCAGATCCTTCTAGACTGTTCCATAGCCTTCCTGAGGGTTCACAGCCACCCGGCTTGTCCCAAAATTAAACCCACTGAAGCCTAAGGTTTTTGTTTCAACTCTTGTGAGAACGGATGTGTCGGATTAAAAAAATGTAATTGTACAAAATTATTTTGATAAAAGGAAACGGAAGAACACGAAGGTCACCCTTAAATGATACACGTTTTCTTGTTTTCCAGTTCTTGATGTGTCATTTCTACATGTTTTTGAGGAATTTTGAAATGGTGAGAATTGAAAATATCTCCGGTGAGAGCTTCGCACAAGTCCTCAATTGCTTCTGGCTTCCTGCAGAAGCGCCTGTCCCTGCGTGGGGCCGAGGCGGTGCCCAGCATCTGCCCTAGGGGCTACTTCCGGAAAAGGGGTGCTATGACTAAAAGACAGTGTCAGGCTTGTGTTTAGGGGGTTGGGACTGTCCCATTGGGAGCCCGGCAGCCTCACTTCCCTTCCAGCTCCCTGCCTGTGGCCCGGGAAAGCAGTGGAGGACGGCCCAAAGCTTTGGGACCCTGCACTCGGTGGGAGACCCCGGGGAGGTTCCTGGCTCCTGGTTCCTGGCTTCACACTGTCCAGTACTAGCTGTGGCCATTGGGAACTGAACCAGCAGTTAAAATATCTGTTTCTCCTTGCTCAGTAAATCTGCCTTTGAAGTAAATAACAATAATCTTTTTTAAAAAGTCCTGAGCATTGTTCAAAAGACTTTTTAACCCTTGTAATTTTCCACATTTTCAAACGGTGCATTCATGGTACTGGGAAATAAAAAATGCGTAACTAAAAGCAAATGTCCTTTTCAGAAAAAAAAAAAAAGCTTTTCCAAGGTTAGCAGGAAACCTTATGGATTTCCAATGCAGAAATTCCCGTGGTAGTTTTGTTTTCTTTCTGAATTTCAGACAGAAATGTGTAAAGGAACACGCGAAGGTCTTGTGGCTGGCTTTCCGGCAGCCTGCTTGGCTTTGGTTACTGCTCTGCTGCGTGAGCCTTGTGGGTCGGGCTGCTTGACGTCTGAGTCAGCAGCCTTGTGACTGGAGCTTTTTTCAGATCTGAAAGGCAGAGCAAAACAGCCCTGGTGGCAGAGGCGGCAGGGTGGGGAGAGGGCAGGAAGGAGGAAGGGGAGAAGCTGGGGCAGGGAGTGGGCCTAGGGTTAGCTCCGAAGACGCACCGAGGGTTCTAGAAGAGTCTTGTGAGGCACCAGCCTGCCGGAAGTCCTGCAGTTGTTTTTGCAGTGAGCATGAGTGAACATTTCTTAAAGGGTGGTGAGGACACGGAAGGCAGGAGGAAATGACCTGGCCCAGGAGACAGGTGGCTGGTGTTTTCAGCTGGGACTGCCTTGCCCTTCCGGGGACAGTAGGGTTGTCACTGCTGTGGGACCACCCTAGACTGGACAGAGTGCCCCAAGGGCCAGCACCAGCTGGAAACCCTGCCCCGGGGGTGGCTGCTGCTGCTCCACCTGCTTTTCCACTCCCTGCAGCGTGTTCCCACAGGCTGGGTGTCCCGTTTGGACTCCTAAGTGGGGTCTCAAGTCACGCTCCCAAAGCCCCACGCCCCCAACCTGGAATGTTGTGTGCTAGAATGTGCCAGAAGCTGCCTGAATCACCGGATCCAGTCTTGTGGGTTCCACCCACAGATCCACGCTTTGCAGACACCCCGGAAAGGGCTGATTCGGAGCCTGCACCAATGGGAAAGTAGCAGAGGCCCAGCAACAGGGCAGGATTGGCAGGCCGACTGGGCAGGCGGTGGGCTGAGCTCCCGGAGGGCCTGGGGTTGGGCGCAGCGGGAGGGGTGCCGGTGGTACACTTGGCTGCCTGGCAGTGTGCCTTCCCCCGCAGCACTCAAGGTCACAGCCTGGCCCCTGGCTAGTATGGGGAACACAAGGTTCAAAAGTGTTTGTCCTGCAAGGGGTGGCGTCAGAGAACCGGGTGGGGAGGGCTTTGCTGGCTTGGGTCACGGGTTATATAACCAAGGAAACATCAACTTTCCGTGCAGGTTAGAAACCTTGCCAAGAAAAAAAAAAAAAAGCCGCCACCAGTTGGCTCTTTCTTCCATTTGCGTGGGTGTTTTGAACTGTGTCGCCATACGTGCCAAGACACACACTACTCTGGCTCAAAAATAGCCAGTTCCCGTCCCAGCAGTGGGAGTGACAGGGAGGGCGCAGTCGCCCCCACCTCCTGTTCGGGAACGTTAGGAAGTTCCTGCATCCGGCGGGGCTTTGTTCTGGGTGTCGCTTTCAACTGTGGGAGAACGCTCACAGTGCTGGGCATCTTCCAGCAAAGGCTCAGCTGGACACAGGGCTCCCTGCTGCTGGCCGCGGCCATCCACACCCCCCCCCCCCCCCCCGGCTTTATCTCCTCATTCCCAACCACAACTGTCTCCAGTAAACCATTCTGTCCACTCCTGGCATCCCCACTGGCGCCGTCTCTATGAATTTAATGTCTCTGGCTAAGTCATAAAATGAGGTTTTTTAAAGTACAAAACAATAGTTGAAAAAAATTTCCCAAAAGATACAACTTTTCTGGGAAGCTTTAACAATAAGCACCGCTCTACAATATTTTTCCCTTGTCTTACACCGGTAGAAATATTTAATTGTGGGACATAAAACACAATTAACCTATCACCTATCAGGCATGTTCACTTGAGAATAACCCTAGACATTTGATCCCCTTTAGTGTTGGCGCCACCATCTCCCTGGGGAGTCAGCTCAAGGTTTTCATGTCTTCCACCCCAACACCCACGCTCTGCAAAGACCCCACCATTTGCAGTAGGAATTTGGGTCCGGGAGAGCCGGGAGCTGACTGCTGGCAATCCCGCGGAACGCACCGGGAATGTGCCTCGCGTGTTCGTGGGGGAGGCCTCTGGGGCGCCAAGAAAAGCAGGGCTCCCCGCTGGGTGCTGCCTTGCCTCGGAGTGAGGGTGAGGGTCTCCCTCTGAAAGTGGTGTCTGAGCGCACAAAGGAAGCCGCCCGCACGGAGACGTGGGGCTGGCACCTGCTGGACTGAAACCCAGCCCGCAGCTCCACAACCAGTGTGCTGTGGTTTCAGACCTGGCGTTTCTCGCATCTTCTATTCCGGTGCAGTGACTTCTCCTACTGCGGGACTTGAGAAGCCCAATACTAGGCCTGGACATGTTCACCTGCCTGTTGTTACTAAGGAGTGGTAAAAGCAGAGGTGGAGATGCCGGGGATCGAACCCGGGGCCTCATACATGCAAAGCATGCGCTCTACCACTGAGCTACATCCCCCTCCCTCACGTAGGTAGTGCTTGAAAAGCCTAGCTATATTTGTGCT